ATCTTGCTTGAGTTTTCTGCAGATAGTTTTCCAATTTTCTCAGCACCATTTGTTAAAAAGGATGTTGCTTCCCCACTTTACTGATTTCATCTCCTTGTCAAAAACCAGTTAGCCATAGGCAGACGGGCTGATTTCTGGGTTCTCAGTTCTATTCCACTGATTTATGTGTCTGTCATTGTACCAGTACCACACTGTTTTGACCACTACAGCAATGTAGTAGGATTTGAAATCAGAGAGTGATTTTTAAGAAGTGCTTTGTTTATTCTGGGACTCTGCATTCCAAATGAAATTGGAGATTGTCTTTTCCATCCCATTGAAAAATGGAATTGGTATTTGTTTGGGATTGCATTGAATGTGTAAATTGCCTTTGGTATGATTGTCATTTTCACAATATTGAGTCTTCCTATCCATGAGCAAAGGATATTCTTCCACTTCTCCAATGAGCAAAGGATATTCTTCCACTTCTCCAGGTCTCTTTTTGTTTCTTGTAATAATGTTTTGTAATTTTCTTTGAATAGATCCTTTGTGTTTCTGGTTAAGTTTACTCCTAAGTATTTAATCTTGTGACTAGCTATTGTGAGGGATATTGTTTTTATCAACTCCAGTTCTCTTTCTTTGTCACTGTAGAGAAATCCAACTGATTTTTGTATGTTGATCTTGTATCCTGCCACTGTGTTGTATTGGTTAAAACTATGTCCAGAAGTTTTCTTGCTGAGTCTTTGGGTTTTCTAAGTATACTATTATATTAATTGCATAGAGAGATGATTTTTCCTCCTCTTTGCCAATTTAGATACCTCTTATTTTCTTCTCTTGCCTTATTGGTATCACTAAGACTTCCAATACAATATTGAATAGGAGAGGAGATAGTGAGCATCCTTGCCTAGTTCCTATTCTCAAGGGGAATGCCTTTAAGCTCTCTCTCCATTGAGAACAATGTTGGCTCTTGGGTTTGCATATATACTTTATTACTATGTTGAAGAAATTCCCCCTTAATTCTATTTTGTTGTTTTAATCAGGAAAGGGTGTTGGATTTTGTCAAAGACCTTTTCTGTATCAATCGATAGGATCATGTGATCATGTGGTTCTTGTTCTTTGCTTTGTTAATGTGATGAATTACATTGTTTTTCCTACGTTGAGCCATCCTTGCATACCTGTTATGAATACCACTTGGTCATGGTGGATTCTTTCTTTTTTTATGTATCATTGGATTCTATTGTCCAGTTTATATTCAGGATTTTTCCATCTATGTTCATGGGAGATATTGGCCTACAGTTTTCTATTTTGGTGATGTCCTTTCCTGGCTTTGGTATCAAGGATATGTTTGCTTCATAGAATGAGTTTGGGAGAATCATATCTTTTTCTATTTTCTGAAATAGTTTATGTAGGATTGGTGACAGTTCTTCTCTGAATGTTTGGTAAAATTCACTTGTAAAGCCATCTAGTCCAGAACTTTTTTTGGCTAGAAGTTATTTTATTACCTTTCCAATTTCTTCTTTTATAATGGGTCTGTTCAGGTGTTCAGTTTTGATTTTTGTCAGTTTAGGTGTGTTGTGAATTTCTAAGTATTTGTCCATTTCCTCTAGGTTTTCATATTTGTTTGAGTGTAATTTTTCATAATATTCCAATGTTAGCATTTTTATTTTAGTTGGTCTGTTTTGATGTTACCCATTTCATCTCTTATTCAGATTATTTGTGATTTTTTCCTTCTTTTCCTTTGTTCGTTTTGCTAGTGGTTTGTCAATTTTATTGACTTTTCCAGAGAACCAACTCCTTGTTTTGGTCATGGTTTCAATTGTTTTTCAGTTTTTTTTTTCATTCATTTCTACTCTAATTTTTATAATTTTAGGCTTTTTTAGAGGGTGTTGGGTTTTCTTGCTGTCCTTTTTCAATTTGTTGGAGATGTTGGAAGGTTACTACATAATGCTTAAAGGGTCAATATCATACATGACAACCTTGGGTATCTTCTAGTAGCATAAAAATTCAACTTATGAATACTATACATCTAAGTCCATTCAGTCTAAAAAAAATGTGGAGGGAAATGGAATAACACATAAAGGATTGATAATGCACAAATTGACTGATGTCATTTTTAACCATGTCTTTTCATTGAAGAGAATTGATTAGTCAATTTTGAATTGTTTTGTGTATATGACATAAACCAGACAATGTTTTTAAACATAATCAACATTCATTTTCAATAGCTGAACAAAATCAATTTAGTCAGATTAAATTTAATTATAGAAAACAACTTTGAAGAAATCTACCTTTTATTAATTAAATACACAAAGACCATGATACACCCTTTTTCAAATTACAAAATGAAAACATCCATATATTAATGGTACAATAAAAGCACATTTTTAAATAGGTAATTCAATACTCCAGGTTGTATAATAGTCACTAGACATAAATTTACCCAAAATCAAGAGAGTAAAATAACTCTTATATTGAAATTTTCAGATTTGCGAGATTTCTTGACTGTCAATAAAATAAGTTTCTGGAGAAGAGTGTCAAGTGTGATTCTTGCTACATAGTGGTGAGTCATCATTTATAGATGTGTTAGAAAATGTATGTGTGGTTTTGTAAACAATCTACCATCTCTAATTTAAAATATGTCATGGGCTCAACAGGGGGCTCTGGTGGCCTGATGGTTAAGTAGTTGTGCTGACACTCAAAGGCATGCAATTCAAATCCACCAGCTTCATTATGGGAAAAAGATAGGTACTCTCTTCCCTTGTGATTTGCTACCTCTGAAAACCCACTGAGGGTCAGCTATGAATTGTTTTCTTCTTTCCAGTAGATAGCAATAACGCTTTTGCAAACCATGTGCTTCAGTTTCTAAATGTGGAAATGCATCTAGATACAATTGGAACTGGTCACTTTTAACAAGTAGCAAAAGAAGAACAACAATAATTAGAAGGTGGTCAGGCTCTTCAAAATGGCATAAAATATAGTTAAACAAATGATTATGTAATGTATTTAATGATTGTGTGCCTTCAAAAAGAATTTTCTTTTTATATTAGTGAAACAATGTTTGAGTAGGATTAACCACTTTTGAGTTCTAAAAAGAGCTACTTACGCACAGAGATACAGAGATAAAGGAAGAAGACAAAGATAAATAAATCGACGAGCCTGTAACTTTAAGAATCGTTGTTGCTGTTGTTGTCATTGTTAGGTGCAAGCAGATCTGAACCCAATCCTACCCTGTGTCATTCTTATTCTTCCTGACACACAAGAGTCCATTGCAGTAGCTACCATGTCAATCCACCTGGTCGAGGGTCTTCCTTTGCTGACCCTCTAGCTTTGCTAGCATCATGTCCTTCCTAGCAACATAGCCAAAGCATATGAGGCAAAGCCTCATCAAAACCACACAAACAAACAAACAAACAAAAAAAAAAAAAACCAAAAAAAAATCCCCAAACCCGCACCTCATTACCAGGGAGTCAGTTTGAACTCCTGTAGGTTTCTGAAGCTATTAATCACATAGGAGGAAATTACCCATCTTCCTTCCTTAGAGAAGAGAGGTTGGCAGTACAATTTCTTACAGGCTAGGCCACCAAATCTCCACCAATGCTACTAGAAGAATCATAAACTTAATCTGGACTTCCAGCCTCATAACTGTGAAAAAATAAATTACTGTTCCTTAAAGCCCCCTACTTATCATATTTGTGTTACAGAAGCACTATGCAACTAAAACAAATTGTCTCTGGTTTACACTGTTCTATTACATGACAGAAGAAATGGTTTAACAAAAGTAACTGGAATAAAAACTGGGACTATTTGGCATTCAGATATTGAAATCCACATAGCAAAATGTTAGAGAGGAACATAAACACTTCTCTAGCTATATGTTTTAAAAAATATTCTTTTTAAGCCTGCTTATGGTATTCAAATTTATCAAATATATTTGGTTAAATCCATTTACTTTTACATATTAATCTATACTACCTCATTAAAAAAATATTTTAGGTTGGTGGCCTTGATTTAAGGACAAAACTGCATGCATACTAGCCCTCCAGCCATAAAGCTATTCATGCATCGGTACTACTTTGGCTCCATGAGCATTGATGTAGGTGAGAAGAATCTTGGCTCTCTGCTCTACTACGTCGATAAGTTTCTCAATTCCTGCTCTACCCCCTTGGCTTTCCCAATAAACCTTATCAAGGAACAGAGACTGGAGGAGCTTTTGCCTTAAGTGCTGGCTCTTCAAAACAGAAACTGCAGATTCAGGAAACCTGGAAAGAAAAAAAAACCCAATATTTCATTCTCAGTAATTACTTGGAAATATTGTGTCTTTTCCAATTACGCTGTCCTTCATTATTAATCTGCCGTAAATCACATTATCAAATGATTTCTTGAGAACCAAAACATTTCCATCACTGTCAAACTGATACTTTTCTTAATATTAAAATACTAGAAGAATGTGTTTCAAGTGCGTAGAATTATCTATACTATTCACAACATGACATATTTCTTTTTAAAGCCCCTTATGTGAAGACAAGAGGTACAGAAATAGAAAAAATTCTGTAAGCATAGCAAAAATAGCTTCCTTAATCTTATATTCCATTTTGTCCATAACATCCACTTTTATCCGTCAAGTAAAATAGTATTCTCCCAAATGTCAAGGTAAGATTTCATGCAAAAATAAAATATGAGAAGCAAAATGCTGATGGTTTCAGTAAAGTGCTCTTTCTAAGGAGGAGATGCACTGAATTTAATGTGAGGTGATCCATGATGTATGTGTTAGAAGAGAAAAGAACCATCATATGAATGCCCAGTCAAAGAAAGAGTTGCCTTTGATTCAGATTATAGGTCAATAACTTTGAGGATTTGGGTTCATCAATTAAATCATTCTCAAGTAACTTTAGTAAAACTCAGGATTTTAGAACAAAGACCTTGAAAGGACTCTCAGAAAACTTTAAAAGTCAGAAATCCATTGCTGTAGTTTGGACAAATGCATAGCTCACCCATTACTGAGTTTCGAAGACTATCAATCATTCAAGAGGAGATTGTCCATCTCTCTCCCTCAGAGCTGCCAGAGAAGTTTGGCCTTTAGGTTAGCATCAGAACTCCCTATGGATTATACCACTGGAAAAATTACATGAAATGTTTAAAACTCCTTACTGGAATACCTTATGAAACTGTGTTCGTCTCTCCCCCTCCCCCCCCCTTTAATTAGAAATCATAAAATCAGGATCCTGGCACAGAGTCTATTCAAAGTATTTGGTAAAGTTTCTGGTTCAAATAATTAAAAAAATATTTTGGTAAATCTCCAATTTGTCCTCTCCAAGCTTTCATTAAAAGGCTCAAGAAGACATAGTAAAGGTATGACTTTGATAATTTTTAAGTAAACTCAGTTGTTCCTTAAGAATTAACACAAAAACACACATTATCTTAGAAAAAAAAAAAGCACTTTGACACAAGTCTCAAGCTCTTCTAAACAGTTTTCTCAAATTTTGTCAGAGCAAGGTGAGGGTCACCCAAGAGACATAGAATCCAAGAAATCTAGGTGCTCCATCAGTCGCCATGTTGAAGAAATACCAAAGTCCAATGAAATATGTAAGTTTAATGAGAATTGTTGTTGTTGTTGTTATGTGCCATCGAGTCGTTTGCGACTCATAGGGACCCTATGTACAACAGCCCTAAACCGTGCTCTA